TGTGCGCTGACGGCTGGCTGCGGTGAGGTGGCCTGGTTTGGGGACCTCCTGCCAGAGGGCGTGAGATGGTGTTTGAGACTGGTGTGTGCGCAGGAGAGTGTCAGGCTGTGACGCCGCGGGTGTGACAGGGAGCGGCTGTGACCTGTGATGGGGAGCAGGGACGGAATGCCGTGGGTGACCTCCGGCTGTGTCTGCAGTGTGTGTGTGTGCGCCCGTGTGTGCGCGTGTGCTGGGAGTTGGACTGTTCTTAGGACTGTGGGTATGTGACACATCGTGTGAAGGGACAACTTTCGTGTGCACGTGTGGCTGTGTGGATGACCAGTGGTGGCGCTGCCGAGGATTAGGCGTGTGTGGTGTGCACTATGCGGTCTTCCTGCTGGTGGCACAGCGCGTTTGGGGTGTGGGGTGGCACTGGGTCAGGATAAGTGCCTGCTGCTGACTTTCTGGTTGTGTGTCATCGTGTGTGATCGTGCATGGGCTGCTGTGGCTGTCTGGAAGCTGGGCTGCACCAAGGGACCTTGTGTGGAAACAGGCCGGCTGGGATGTGGAGGTGTGTGGGGAGAGGAAGTGGGGTGGTGTGCTGTGCAGCGGAGACCTCAGTGTGGGGCTAAGTGTGAGAGATGGAGCCAGGTGTGTGTGATCTAAGCACTCAGTAGGCTGAGGCAGGAGGATCTCAAATTTGAGGCCAGCCTGGGCTACACAGCCAGAGCATGTCTCAAAGATAATAAAATAATAATAATAACTAATAATACTAAAGGTGGGGAAGGGCATCTGAGTGACGCATGGCTGGGATTCTCCGTGTGGGTGACAGGTGTCAGCCATGGCCGAGATTGTGAGTGGTGCGGCAGGCACTGTTCCATTGGCAACACTGGGTGAACAGTGGTAGTAGTTGTCAGGGTGGCTCCTGATGACTGTGTGCCATTTACGAAGCTTGTGTGAAGTGTGACACACACACACACACACACACACACACACACACCTCTACAGAAAGGGCCTCGAATCCACACAGTACCTGCCTTACAGTGATTCCACTTAGACTTCTGGCATGATGACGGTGTGGGAGTGATGTGTGTTCACTAGGAACTGTACTCGAATGGTGAATCTGGGGTTTTTTCCCAGCCACTAGTATGTGCCACAGTAATTTCTCCCGAGGCGGGGCAGGGGTCACGAAAGCAGCTCCCACCCGGCCCTGGATCCTGAGGGGAAAGAATGAATTCAGTGCATTTTTAGCCTCAGTTATTTTAGGCTCCCGTGGGGCTGTGGGGATGGGGCCCATAGCAGTTGAGGAGCATGTGTACACACACACACACACACACACACACACACACACACGCACATACACACACACCTGTGCACAGGGAGCCAGTGGTAGCCACCAAGGGCCTGCAGTGGGGGGACATGGGCCCCCCTGCAACAGTGTCAGGGAGCCCAAGTCCCACCATCTGCCCATACATGTGTCTGTGTGTTCATGGGTAGGTGTGCAAGTCCCTGCTGGCCACACGGGAGTGGAGAGGATGGGTTAGAGGAAATGGGGCAGCTGGGGGCATCCACAGGGAATCCTGGGTGTCTTGGAGGGGCTCAGGTGCTTGGGGGGATCCTGGTGCGTGTGGGGGAGAGGAAGTGACATGCATAAGCGCAGCTTGGGGCCTGAGGGATTTGGGATTCAGTTGTATTTTGGGAGGTAAGGGCTATGGGGGTGGTAAGACGCAGTTTCTGTGAGTTGGCTTTTCTATCTTTCTTTTTTTGCTTGTTTGTTTGAGACAGGGTCTCACTGTGTAGTTTAGGCTGGCCCTGAACTCACTATGTAGCCCAGGCTGACCTCGAACTTATGGCGAACCTCCTGCCTCAGGTTCCCAAATTCTGAGATAACAGCCATGTACCATGGGGCCTGTCTGGCTTTTATTTCTAAGAGGAGAATCTATCTGTGTTGGGCTGTATTTCCAAGAGGGAAGTGTACAGGTGTTGTTTCTTTTTCTTTTCTTTTCTTTTTTCTCAAGATGTTGTTTCTGACAGGAAAATGTCAGTGTGTGCCTGAACTGCTCTGTTGCATTAGATTGTATTTCTGGAAGGAGAATGTGGATGTGTATAAATATTTGTGTTGTTTTAAAGTCCTAGGAATTGAACCCAGGACCTGGCACCTGCTAGGCAATCACTCCAGCCTGGAGTTACATCTTCAGCCCTTTTACTTTTTGAGACAGGGTCTCCATAATTTGCATGAGCTGGGTTCAAATTTGTAATCTTCCTGCCTCAGCTTTCTAAGTAGCTGACAAAATAGGCAAGCATTACCACACTCAACATTGAACTGTATTTTTTTATTTTTCTTTTCGTTTTTGTTTTTTGGTTATTTGAGACAGGGTCTCACTATGTAGGTGAGACTGACCTGGAACTCACAGTGTAGCCTAGGCTGGTTTCAAACTAGCAACAATCCTCCTGCCTCAGCCTCCCAAGTGCTGGGATTATAGGTGTGTGCCACCATGCTCGGTTTGAACTATTTTTTGTTTTTTGAGACAGGGTTTCATTATGTAGTTCAAGTTGGCCTCAGATTCACTATAGCTCCAGGTTGGCATTGAACTCATGGTGACTCTCCTGCCTTAGCCTTCCAAGTACTGGGATTACAGGTGTGCACCACCATGTCTGGCTAAGAGCTGTATTTTTATGAGAAGTATGGATGTGTTTTATTTCTAAGACAAGAACGTGTATTATGTTGAACTTCTAATGAGGGAAAGTGTGTGTGAGAAAAGATGAGTGTTGTGCTGTATTTATAAAAAGGAAGTGTGCATGTGTGAGTTGTATTTCTGAGAGAGGTGTGTTCTGCTGTCCCTTGGAGTATATTTGTGTGTGTCTGAGGCGTGTGGGGTACCCTAGCTACTGCTCTGGTCACCCACGCAGGGCCACGCAAAATCCCTCCTGTGGGACCACCAGGACCAGGCTTCAACCTTTGCTGTGACATCCAGGCCGCATCTGCGGCACGTGTGTCCTAACAGGCCCTGGGCTGGCGGCGCAGCCCGTGGAGGAGGGTGGAGCCCCTGTGCCCTCCGGGTCTGTCAGGCCCACAGCACAAGGGCCTTCTCCTGTCCCCCGACCCAGAGGCTCCCAGCTTCCGGCGCCCAGCCCCTGGCCCTGTCCTGGGCCCCACCCGCCCCCAGTGGCTTGACTGGTTCCCAACAAAAGCACCCTAAGATGAGCTCACGGGAGAGGCGGCCGCCTCCACTGGCCCCGCCCCGCACGCCCGGCGCCGCCCGCTCTCCCTCCCCCTCCCGGAGTTTTAGCTCCGGGCCCGGGCGTCTGGGGACCTGGGGGCGGGGAGGGCCGGCCAGGTGAGCCGAGGCCCGTGGGGGCACCTGCAGCCAGGTGCTTGCCCTCTTGGTTAACCCCACATAGTAGGAGTTTGGAGCTGTGGTCGGGGCAGAGCTGTGGGTCCCCAGGACAAACTCAGGTGGCCTGGATATTCCCGGATGAGCGCTGGCGAGGCCAGGTGCAGGGCCAGGCGCTGGCTGGGATGGATGGGGCGGAGGCAGAGGCGCGGCCCGGACCGGGGACATCCGGGGAGCTGGTAGGGGGACAGTTGGGAATCTGCGGCCGGTGATGGGCTCATCTGGCCCTGACAGTGACCCCTCCACACCCACCCCAGCCATGTCCGTGCAGGTGGCAGCCCTCGGCGGCATGGGGCTGGGCCCCGAGCGTCTGAACCCGGAGGAGCTAGTGAGGCAGACCAGGCAGGTGGTACAGGGGCTGGAGGCGCTTCGGGCAGAACACCGCAGCCTGGCCGGGCACCTAGACGAAGCGCTGGCGGGTCGGGGCCCGGTAGGTGGCTTGGAGCTGCTGGAAGAGAAGCAGCAGGTGGTGAGCCACTCGCTGGAGGCCATCGAGCTGGGGCTAGGAGAGGCCCAGGTAAGAACCGGCCAGGTGGGGGGCTCCGGCCCGGGGAATGGGCTTGGGCCCAGGGAGGAGGGCGGCCGGCCTGGGTGGGGGGAGATCTGGGGAACCAGGCCTGGAATGAGAAGCCTCAGGCCAGAGACGTGGTGCCCAGGCAGCATGTGGGGGGTTGTGTGCGTGTGTCACTGAGGACTGAACCCAGCAGTGCTCGACTGCCCAGCTACATTCCCAGCCCTTTTCAGTTTTTCTTTTGCGATAGGGCTTCACTAAGTGGCTCGGGCAGGACTTGAACTGGCAATCCTCCTGCCTCAGCCTGCCAAAATGCTGGGATTATGGGTGTGCACCACCCCCAGCTAGAGGATGCTTTTGTGTGTTCCAGGCACCCCCAAACCAGATGGGCCCCTCTTGTAGAACTGAGAGCCCTGGGGTGACTGAATTGGTAGTGAAACCAGAGCGGCCGGGGGAGCCCCTGGGCATCCCTGGAGCTGCACAGGCAGAATCTCTGCAGAATCTGGGGTCCTGGATAGACGGGGTGCTCGGGGCCAGGGCAGTCTGGCCAGTCTGGAAGTGTGGTCCCTCCCCACCAGGTGCTGTTGGCCCTGTCGGCGCACGTGGGCTCGCTGGAGGCTGAGAAGCAGCGGCTGCGGGCGCAGGCTCGGAGGCTGGCGCAGGAGAACTCGTGGCTGCGTGAGGAGCTGCAGGAGACCCGGCAGCGGCTGTGGGCCAGCGAGGCGGCTGTGGCCCAGCTGGAGGAGGAGAAGAACCACCTCCAGTTCCTGGGGCAGCTGCGGCAGTATGACCCCCCCGAGGAGAGCCAGGTGCTGTAGATCCTCCTTGGGCCCCCCCCCAAGCCCATCAGAACTCCAAAGAAGCCCCCAGTCCTCCCCACACACCAGGCCTAGTTGGGACCCCATCTCCCAGAAGCCCCAGGCTCACTGCTCCCCACTCCCACCCTTCCGCAGCGACCGGAGTCCCCCCCTCGCCGAGACAGCCTGGCCTCCCTGTTCCCCAGCGAGGAGGAGGAGCCGAAAGGTGGGTGTGGGGGCCCCAGGACAGCAGGTGGAGGCTGTCTCCCAGGACTCTGGGCAGGAGGATGAGGCAGGTGGCCGTGGTAGTGGGGAGAGCTGGCAGTTAAGGCGGGAGGCTGGCAGGGCAGGGGCCCTGTGACCTTGACCCTATGAACCAAGTGGGATTAATTCACATCCCAAGGGGCAGGTGGGCGGGCAGGCAGGCATTTCTGTCCCCCAGCCAGGACACATCCCATCCCATCAGCCAGGTACACACTTGTGATTTCCATCTCAGAAGTCAGCCCAGGAGCTGGGTGTGGTAGCTGGGCTGGGTGTGGTAGCCTGACTGCAATCCCAGAACTCTGGGAGGCTGAGGCAGGAGGGTGGCAACTTTGAATCCAGTCCAGGCAACTATCAACTTGGTGAGACCTATCTCAATAAAAAAATGCAGTGTAGGGGGACCTGGGGGTATAGCTCAATGCCCTGGTTTCAATGCCTAGAATAGAAACAAACGAACAAAAAAAAGGTCAATTCAGGGCCCACAGTCCTGGCAAGGCTGCTGTAGTGGGGAGGCCTACAGTGACTCAGTTCACCTCTCCATTCCAGAGGCAGCAGGAGCAGCAGCAGCCCAGCAGGGTGGCTACGAGATCCCGGCACGGCTGCGGACCCTGCACAACCTTGTAATCCAGTACGCGGGCCAGCAGCGCTATGAGGTTGCCGTGCCCCTGTGCCGCCAGGCCTTGGAGGACCTGGAACGCAGCTCAGGCCACTGCCACCCTGACGTGGCCACCATGCTCAACATCCTGGCCCTGGTGTACCGGTGAGATAGCAACTGGCTGGGCAAGAAGGGCAGGGACCCGTGTGGGTGGCAGTGGGAGGATCCTGGCGTCCCCTTCACCATTACACAGCATCTGGAGTGGCTGTGGGGTGGGGAATGGGATGGTGACAGGAAAATGCGGGGAGAGAGGCTGGAGATCTGGGGAAGTGGCTGAGGCTCGGGCAGAGGTCTCGGAGCCAGGCATGTTGTAATCCCAGGCTGAGGCGGGAGTACAAGTTCGAGCCCAGCCTGAGTGACTCAGTGACCCTGTCTCAAACAAAAAAGGGCTCGGATGTAGTTCATGGCGAAGGCCCCGGCTCAAACCCCACTACTGCAAAAACAAAAATAACAAAAAAACAGAGTGTGGTTCTAGCCAGAGGCTTGGCCAAGTCTTGGGAAACAGAGCCCCAAAATGGGCAGCTGGGGGCTGCCACCCATGTCCTGCTCAGCCTGTGGCCCCAGCCTGGCCAATCCCCTCCACCCATGGCCCTGCAGGGACCAGAGCAAGTACAAGGAAGCCACGGACCTTCTCCACGATGCCCTGCAGATCCGGGAACAGACGCTGGGGCCTGAGCACCCTGCGGTAAGTGAGGTCCAGGGGGTAAGGGAGCCTGCTCCTGCCCATCTCTACTCTGCGCCACCCTCTTGCCTGCAGGTGGCCGCAACCCTCAACAACCTGGCAGTCCTGTATGGGAAGCGTGGGCGGTACCGGGAGGCGGAGCCCCTGTGCCAGCGCGCCCTGGAGATCCGGGAGAAGGTGCGCCCTCCTGCCGTGTGGTGAGACCCTTGTCTTTGTGCTGAACTTCCCGCACTGACCCGGATCCCGTGGTGCCTCTGGTAGTGTGCCCTGCATCAGAGCCCAGACTGCCAGTCCCCTGGCCGCCACCCTTGACCGGACTTCCATTTTTTTGCTCTCAGCCTGACCTCTACTCCCCTCCTATCAACCTGGTCCTGCCTTTCCCCAACCTGACCTACTCCCATCCTACCTGTACCCCTGAATCACCACGTGGCCTCACGTCACTCTCCACTTCGATGCCTTAATCCCAAACTCAGGACCCTACATGGCAGCAACATCATGTGGCCCAGTGACCACTTATGACCCCCAATCCCAGGTCCTGGGCGCCGACCACCCGGATGTGGCTAAGCAGCTCAACAACCTGGCCCTGCTCTGCCAGAACCAGGGCAAGTTTGAGGACGTGGAGCGGCACTATGCAAGGGCCCTGAGCATTTACGAGGCCCTGGGGGGCCCCAACGACCCCAATGTGGCCAAGACCAAGAACAACCTGGTGAGGGCCGCAGGCTGCGAGCGGCTGCTGGGCTCCTGCCCTGGGTACCCAGAGAAACCCGACAGGCACTGGGAGGCTGAGGCACCGGGAGCTGTCCTAGCAGGGCCTGGGCGGGAGGAGGCCCTGGGCACCGAGGACCAGGAGCACCAGGTCCAGAGCAGGTCGAGCACAGAGGAAGCTGGCGAGGTGGCCGGGACAGTGCAGCCCCAGATCTTTATTGGCTGACGGCGGATAACCCCTTCCTTAGTTAGCACTTTGCCTTCTGAGGTAAGAGTTGTGGTCACCGCTGGTTGGCACAGGAGGAGATGGAGGCGCAGAAGTGTCACTAGCCAGGGGAGAGTGGGGACAGGAAGCCACCTGCCCTGCTCCAGGTGGATGGGGAGCCCAGCCTCCTCCTGAGCTGGCGCTGGAGGAAGGGATGGCAGGAGGGATCAGGGGGGTGCCTCCTCCTGAGCTGGCGCTGGAGGAAGGGATGGCAGGAGGGATGGCAGGGCAGGGGTCCGGAGATGCCCCAGACGACCCCACTGTGCCCCCTGCAGGCCTCCGCCTACATAAAGCAGAACAAGTACCAGCAGGCCGAGGTGCTGTACAAGGAGATCCTGCGTCCGCAGGACCTGCAGGGCCTGCTCGGTAAGCTGCGCCCTCCCTGCCACCTCCCAAGGGGCTTCTGTGCCATGTCCCCGCTCATGTCCTCATCTGTCCCCCCAGGAGGTCCGGGCACAGGCACGGCTGGTGACGCAAAACAGGAGGTGAGGAAGGGCTGGGCCCCGGGGTGGAGACGGTCCCTCGGGGTTGGGGACCAACCAGTGTCCCCTCCGCAGACCCTTCCTCGGAGCAGCTCGTTCTCTAAGCTACGCGAGTCCATCCGGCGAGGCAGTGAGAAGCTGGTCTCCCGGCTCCGAGGCGAGGGCCTGGCAGGGGCGGCCGGGTGAGTGCTGGACTCCGTCCCCAGAGCCCTGCCGTCGGCAGAACCTGGTGTGTCCCGCTCAGGACCCTCCCGGGGTTCACCATTCCCCCTGGCCCCGTCTGCAGGATGAAGAGAGCCATGTCACTCAACGTGCTGAACGTGGATGGGCAGAGGGCCGCGGGGACGCAGGTGAGGGACACACGGCCGGCTGGGGGGACAGGCGGTGACAGAGCTCTGCCTGCCTGTGCTCACCCTTGTGCCTGTCCCCAGCTCCCTAGCCGGCCCCTGGGCGAGGCCTCTCGGACCTTCAGCGCCAGCACCCAGGACCTGAGTCCCCGCTGAGGTGGACAGGACAGAGTTGCTGCAGACTCTCAGGAAGGGGTGGGAGGACCGGTGACATCCACCTCTGGCACATCCTGACACCCCACCTGGGTGCCCCGGGTGTGCTTCCCACCTCCCTCCCTCCTGTGATTAAATTCTGTAGATGTGGCAATGAGGAATGTCCTCCTGAGGGTCCCAGGCGGGGCCCCTGTGAGCCAGGCAAGACTCGGGAGAGCCGGGCGTGGTGGCACACAGGTATAATCCCAGCACTCGGGAGGCTGAGGCAGAAGGACTGCCAAGAGTTTGAGGCCAGCCTGGGCTACATACTGAGGTCAAGGTTTGCTTGGACTACATAGTGAGACTATCTCACTATGTCTCAAAAAAACCAAAGAAACTAACAAGATTCGTGAGTCCCCGGGTACCTTTACCTCGCGCCGGGCTCACAGCTGCTGTGCGATCTGCTCTATCCTCTGCAGCGTCTCCTCAGACTCCAGCTGCTCCAGGCTCAGCAGGGACAGGCCCAGCTGGTCCTCCTGCAGGGGACAGGGAGGTGTCAATGGGGACTGTGGTCTGAGACCCGAGGGCCAGGATGTGGAAATTTGGAAATGTTCTTAAAGCCAGAGAGAGCACCCCTCACACAGAACAGGCCAGAGGGAGGGGGCTCACCCGGTGGAAGGGCTGCGCCATCTGCCTCAGGAAGTACTTGGCCACCTGGACCCCCTCGTCCACTGTGAGGTTGAGGTTGGCATCCGTGAGGTGCTCCTGGATCCAGCGCGGCAGCTTGCCCCGCTTGTCCACCCGGGCAAAGCGCTGGGGAGGAGGAGGGGGCCGGCGTCATGTCCCGGCCCTCCAACCCTCCCGGCCCCCAGAAGATGGCTCGGAGGTGAGGTGGGTCCCGAACGCCCACCTTGTCAGCGAAGACCATGAGGCCGTAGTCCGTCTTGCCCCGGATGGCCCGGCCCACACACTGGGCCGCGTGGCGCATGGCATCGAAGGTGAGGAAGTCGTTCTCGCGGATCTGGAACTGGTCCCGCAAGTACTCCAGGCGCGCCTGCAGGCGGGGGACCAGGCTGCCTATGTGCCCCGCCGTGCCGTGCCCTGCCCTCCCACCCCAGCGGCCAGTCACCCACCTTGAGAATGCGGCTCTGGGTGTAGACGTAGGGGACACCGAACATGATGACGGCGCGGCCGTAGTGGTGCACTGCGGCGGAGGGGCGGGGTCAGGGTTGCTCAGGCCGGGCTGTGCTGGGGACCCCGAGGGGAGACCAGACCACTCACCAAAGTCGATCCCCTCGGACACCTTGCCTCGAGCCACAGACAGCAGGATGGCCCCGCGGCCGTTCTCGCAGGCCTGGGGGTGGGGACGGAGGCGCAGGCCATGTCACTCCTGTCCCCTCCACACAGCCTCCGCAGCCCCTGCCCCAGACCGTATTCTCACCTCCTGGTACTTCTCCAGGGCAACACTGGTTTCAGCCCCATCCTGGGTCTCGATGAAGAGCAGCTTGTTCCTCTGGATGTTTTCCAGGATGCCCTGGGGAGGGACAGGGGCCGGGCCGGCAGTGCTGGGGTAGAGCACATGGTTAGCCCACCCTACCATGGCCGACTATGCGAGGGGCCTGCCCACTGCAGTCTCAGGGAGGGAGGAGACAGCTGGCCAGCCCCACGGCAGTGAGCCGAGTGGGAGGGAGCAGGCCAGTAGGGGGCACACGGCCCAGGCGCCTGGGGCCCAGGGAGTGGCTGTGTGCCAGGCAGATCCCAGGAGAGGCTGCTGAGTGCACGCCCAGCCCCACAGCAGAGGGGCAGAGAGGGGTCCAGAGCACCCAGGCCCCCATGCAGCTGCGGGGGGGAGCTCTCCTCCGGAAACAGCACAGAAGCAAGTGGGTTTGCAGATGGGAAGGGGTGACCCTAATGCCTCCTCACACCTTCCCAAGGTGAGCTCCAGGCCCCTCACAGACACAGATGTGACAAGGACCTCAGAGTACCCAGGAGGAAACTCAAGGGGTCTTAAGTGGGACACAAATGGCCCTTGGGCTCAGAAGGCCTCTTTCTCATTATACAGAGCCAGGGCCCTGGGAGGGGCAAGCTCCCCATGCCTGGGCCTGCCCTGTTCACCAGGAAGCCGTGCTTGTCCTCAGCCAGCTGAGCCCAGAGAGGGTCCAGGTGTCTCCCCCAGCTCCCCACGGGGGTGACCCTGCCTGCAGAACGCCTGCCCCACCACAGGCTCTCCAGACCCTTCCCCAACAGCGGCATTTCACACAAGCAGCATGTGCTGGGGGGACCCCAAAAGGACCACAGAGTGGGGGTGCCTCTGAGGCTGTGCCAGGCAGGCTACTGAGTTCCGAACCTGGCAGGTGCAGGGATGGGGCTGGGTACCACCTACTCCAAAGGCTGGACGCTGTCCTGTCATGTGACCCCCCTGGGCAGAGCAGCGCGAACATCACCCGGGATGGAGAAGGCAGCGTACCTGCTCATACCAGGAGGCTACAGTGCTCTCCATGTACTGGTAGCTGGTGAAAAAGGCCACGATGCCATCGGGGACCACAGCCGACATCTCCAGCAGGAGGTTCCCATAGTTCCGGATCACGGCTGTGGGGGGCCAAAGGTTGAACCCTCTCCTGCCCGGGGCTTCCCTCCTTACTGACTTGAACCTGGAGCCCACAGCCACTCCACAGAGGCTGGGTAGAAGGTGGCTACCAGATACCCGGCCTCTCCTCCCTCCTGGCCTCTGAGGAGAGTAGTGGCCACCCGACTGGTCACAGCCAGTGACACGAGTGCAGAAAGGGCTGTGTCACCTGCGGCGAGTGACCTTAGGAGCCAGGACACAAAGGGGGGTCTCCCCCATGGTCACGTGGTCCTCCTGTCACCATTCCCAGGCCTCCCACAACACCCAGACACCAGAGCTAGACACTCTCTTAGGGGAGGATTTGGGGGTGTCTGTGGCAGCATGACCTCGCCCTTCTGCCACCTCTCCTCTCGGGACCCACAGATGGCACCCCCGGCTGTGTACCAATATCTTCCCGGGTCTCAAATTTGGAGCTGATGGCCACCTGGTCATTCCCGCGGCTGATGATCTGGAGCAAGCAGAAGGTTATGTGTCAACAGTGAGGCAGCGGCCCAAGTGCCACCAGCCTGCTACTGCCACTCAGCTTTGTACGGACTGTGTCACTAGGGCACCCTCAGCCACCTTTTACCTGTGTTACAGGGATGGATGACCCAGGCCCAGAGAAGGCGGGTTACCTGCCCAGGGTCATGCAGCGTATCAACCCCCGAGAAAGCGGAGTCTGGCCTTACTTCTCAGCGACAGCTGCCGTCGGGCAGCCCGATCCCAAACACTGCCTCACCAGGGCCCCCATGGCAGCCCTCACCACCAGCAGGCAGTGGGTGGTCATCACCAGTGCACAGGTCCAGACAGGCAATTCCGGAAATCAAAAGCTCAGAAAACATTTTCTTCTAAGCTCAGCACAAAGTCACCCCTAAGTGTGGAGCGGCCTGACAGGCCCGGCGGTGTGACGCTTCCCAAGTTCTGGGAGCCGTACCCCTGGCCTCTTCAGAACCCTTTGCAATGGATGAGGGCTGTGACCAGGAGGGCAAACGCCACTGGGCACCTGCCTCTCCCTTTGCCAGGCCTGGGCAATGCAAGCGTTTTATACCTTCCTCTCTAAACCCTCTCCCAGGCCCCAAAGACCAGGTGACATTCCCACCTCAGGGACGAGCACCGAGGCCGGGAGTCACTGGTGCTCCCACTCACCATGGGGCAGAGGCAGACCCGGGCCAGCGTCATGGTGAAGGTCGCCATGGTGACGGGGTGGAAGTCCAGGATCTTGGGGTAGATGTCCAGCGGGGACAGTGTCTGTAGTGGGGGTGGCAAGAGGGTTTGCAGCCACACTGGGCAGTGAGCAGGACCCCCATGGTGAAGGGCTGGGGACTGGACGGGACACAGAAAGGGTCCTTACCCCAGAGGTGATGATGACAGACTGGAAGCGCTCGAACACAGGTTTGATGGCCAGGGAGGCGTCCATGCAGCTGAACAGCAGACAGGGCAGTGAGGACCAGGCCAGGCCAGCCCAAGGTCCACTCCCACCCCCGGGGCAGGGCCCACCTGAAGTGCAGCACGGGGTTGGCAATGGTCGGGGTCCTGTCATCGAAGGGCTCAATGATGATGGTGAAGCCTACAGGGCAAGGGCAGGTGAGAGCCTCGCTGCGGTCACAACACACCCAGACCGCATCCGAGGGAATACAGGGGACCAAGCCCGGTGCTCCAGCTCCAAACCCTGCACGGAGGCCCAGCCTGCTCTGCAGCACCCACTGCTGTGCAAAGGTGCATGGGCAGGTGTAGCAGAGCCCTGGGCTCTCAGCTCCCCACACTGCCAGCATCAGAGGGCATGAGGGGCCCCACCGCCTGCCTGCAAAACCCACCTGAAACCCAAGGCTTCCCCTGCCCCAACCGGTTCTGCTGCAGCCACAGAAACCCTGTGGAATCCCCATTTGGCTCCCGCCCCTTCCTCTCCGGCTTCCAGAATTAGCCCTGGGGCCCAGCGGGCGCCCTCACCTCAGCCTTGGCCCCTGCTGCCCTGGACATAGCCTGGGGAGCGTGTCCCAGGGTGGCCTGTTTGCTCCAAAGGCCTCCTCCGGGCAGCCCTGCCGGCCTGTGTGCTGCCAGCAAGAATTTTCTGGAATTCATGTGGCCGTGTATTTATTTGAGTCTTTCTTACTGGTTTTCCCTCCTAGAGCTTAACTTCCAAAAGGCTACAGGTGATTTTTGGTTTTCTATTTTTGCAGTGCTGGGCCAGGAACCCGGGGTCCCAGGGTACTAGACAGGCGCTGGGTCTCAGGCCACATCCCCAGCCCTGGAGGTGAGGTCTTTGGATTTTCAGCCGCTTCCACAGTGCTGGGCCCGGTGTCTGCTGCATATGCAGTTGCACTTAGAAATAAAGCCAGTCCCCGTGCCAGCCCTGTGCTGAAGACACAGCGGTGACAGAAGCTGGCAGTGCAGTCAGGAGGAGGTCCCAGTGCACTGAGCTGGGCCCTGCAGGGGAGGGATGACTTCCTGGAAGGGGTCTCTGCGAGCTGAGGAGTGAGGATGAAGGGACACGGCTGGGATGACGAGGCGGGAAGTGTGTGAGACAACAGGAGACGCTGGCAGACTGGAAATGCGGGGGGAAGAGCCGCCAGGGCCGAGCGGGAGGCCGGCAGAGAAAGGGTGGCAGCAGAAGGGCTCGCTGCAGGTGTGTGTGCACGTGCACACTCAGGGCACAGAGGACCCGTCCTCCTGCCCAGGTGAAGCCCAGGCCTGACCGGGTTTCCTGGACAGACCAGTAATCCACAGGGATGACACTGAGCTCGGTCAGCTTAATGCTGGGAAGGGGATGGAAACTAACCGGAGCCTCCCCCCCGCAGGCCAGAAATGCGAGCATCATCCTGTGCCCCTCACCCTGGTCTCTTCCTCCTGCACATCTGCAAAGCACCCTTCCTCTGTGCCTCGGTCCCCGCCCCTGCTCAGGTCCCTTCCTCCACCCCAACTGCTATCTCCAGTTCCTGCTAGGGGAACCCTTCTAAAGTGAAACCTGTCCTAGACCCTCCCTTCCCGAACCTGCCATCGGGTGCAGTGAGCCGAGCCCACAGCGGTCCTCGTCCTAGTCTCACACCAGGGCCCACCCCTGCTTCTCTCTGCAGGCACAAGGAGCCCTTGGAGATACAAATCTGAGCACGAGAGTCACTCAATGAGAACATAAAACAGGGCCAAATCCCAAGCCTGCTCCCGTGCCCGGGTCCCTGGCGTTCACTCTGATTTCTGCTGCGGGGGTGGCAGAGGCAGGAGGAGGCGCGCTTACCCTTGGCATAGGTGCTGACGAGGGTGGCGAAGTTAGCAAGGAGGGTGAGCGGGGAGAAGTCAGCGAGGTCGGCAATCTCCAAGGTGTGCAGGAGAGAGCGGAGGCGCTCGGCACAGAATCTGGGGAGGCGAGACCCGGTCGGGGCAGAGGGAGCAGGGTTAGGACCCTCGTCCTCAGTCGGGGCACGTGGCCACATCCCCCGGAACTTCTGCCCCCACGGAGCCCCAGTACACGGTGGCGCATACACAGCAGTGAGGCTGCACCCCGGTCACGCGGTCGCTCGTCACAGAGTCACACTAATCCCGCACGGCTTCAGGGCCACACCCTTACACCGAGCCTTACAGTGCTCCATGTCCAGAGGGACACAGCCCCCCACCCCAGGAGCCGGTCCTCTCTGCCCCCCCTCGGCTGTCCCTATCTGGGGGCGAGTCTGTTTTCCCCACTGGGCTGTGAGCCACATGCGGGCAGCCCTGGGCTGTCAGGGTCACTACTGTGTCCCCAGAACACTGCAGGTGTGTGAGGAACACGTCGTGAGTGACTGAGAGCCTCTCTGCCCTCACAAGACCCTTGCTGGGGTAGGGGGACAGGCAAAGCCACGTCATTCTACCCCAGGATCAAAGCAGCCAGGACTTCAGTCCCGAGAACCGCGCCGGGGCTGACTCCAGGGGACGCCTCGCTCAGAGCCTCTGTGCCCTCATCGGCAGCACGGTGCCCACACTGGGGACACCCGAGCTGGGGGGGGCAGTTATTTGCTTTGCTGCCTTTTCATAACTACCACGGGAAGCTGTGGGGTGCAGGTGACTCCCCACCCATTTGCAAAAGAAGAAACTGAAGGAGGAGAGACTTAAGACCCAAGGCAGCAAAGAGCAGGTACAGAGCCGCCCTCCTTCCCCAGCCCCAGCACCCGGCCTGCACTCGGGCCTGGTGGGGAAAGCGGTCCTGGCAGGAGACGCACTGGGGTAGGACAGGTCCCTCCAGCTCGGGTCCTGCCGGGCCTCACGGCTCTGCTCTCGGCTTCCATCGGAGCCCCTCTCCGCCTGTCTGGCAGACCCTCACCCATGCCCAGGGCAGGCTGGGGCTGGCGATGGCCTAGCACACGAGGCCCTAGCTTCTGTCCCCATGCCAAAGAAAGGGCATCAGCGCTGCTTCTCCCCCGCCCTGGGGTGGTGGGGCCTCCCACGGGAAAGGCGCCTTCATTAAACGACCGGCAAATGCTCTCATCCGGCTGTGCCGCCTGTGCGGTAGGACCGGCCAGGGCCTGGTGTCCCCTCCCGACGCACACCTGAGGGGCTTGCGCTGGATGCACACGCGCTGGGCCAGGCTGCTGAGGAAGGCGGGGGGCCTCTCCTGCACCACGTGCTGCACGCGCAGCCGCCACTTGACGAACTCCAGCAGCCGCCGCAGGAAGCCCAGGAAGTGCTCGGCCGTGCGGATGGAGCCGGGGACCGCCTCTGCAGGGAGTCAGGGTCAGTGCGGGGATGCGAGGCAGGTGGTGCTGGGTAGAGGGGCGGCGCTCACCCTGCAGCACCTCGGCGGGCAGCACGGGGTTGGCCAGGTGGGCGTCCGTCTCCCGGGCCGCGCTGGCTTCCCGCAGCCCCTCCACCAGCCGCTGGTACTCATCCCGCAGCCGCTGCTCATCGGTCTCCTTGATCCTGCGGGGAACCGAGCGGGGCTGGGACGGGCTGATGTACACGGGGGCCGCACAGGGAGTGGGGAGAGTACCGGCTGTGCCCGCACCTGAGCACCGTCTTCTGCAGGGTGTCCAGGTTGGCCTGGCAGCGGTCGAGGGTGCGGCGGGTGAGGTTGACGCTCATGGAGTCAATGCAGACGTTGTCTAGGGAGGGGGCGGCCGGGCTCAGGCAGGCTGGGGGGCAGGGACCAGGGCTGTCACCTGCGCACCCTGGCTCCCTCCTCACCGATGTTGTGGGCCTCGTCAAAGACCACGACAGCCTTGCGGGCCAGCTCCTTGGACACCAGGTCAGCGATCTTGGGGTCCAGGAGGTAGTGGTAGCTGTACACCACCACGTTGGCGTGCAGGATCTGGGGGGCGGAAGGGTACAGTTACTTTGGCCTGTCTGCCAGTGCCAACTTGAGTCCTGCCACTCTCCACTGCAACAGAAGTAGCACAAGGAAAGACAGGCACAGACAGTGGCAAACAGGCCCTTACCGAGTAGCGGGCCAAGAAGTACGGGCACCAACCCTGACGCTGCCCCAGGGCCTTCAGGTCGTCCAGGTTATAGATGCCAGCGGGAAGGGGCACCTGGCGCCCATGAGCATCAAACTCCTGGCCAAGGTGACAGGGTGGCGGGGGTCAGGGAGACTGGCTGCCCCACGCGCCTGGCCCCTCACCCCAGCCTGGGCCCCCAGACACCTCGTAGAACCGGCAGTGGGGCATGCTGGTGTCCTGCTGGTACTGTGCCCGCACGTAGGAGGCTGTGAGGCTGTGGCATTTCCCATCCACGTCTTTCCCAAAGCGCAGGGGTGTCACCTGGGGGCACGGGGACATCTCAGCGCAGAGACAGGCTGCCATCCCTCCACGCCTCACAGCTGGCCAGGACGCGAGGCCAGCTGGGATTTTTAGACAACAGAAACCTCAGCCTGTTTTGATATCAGTTAAGACAACCGGGATGGTACTGAGAGGCCTGAGGGGAGACAGTTACAACACAAGACCCAGGGAGCTGAGTCCTTAACCCAAAAAGTTTGGAGCCAGAAGTGTTTTTCAGACTGTGGAATATTTGCATACACATAAGATATGCTGGGGCTGGGATCCAAATCTAGACATGAAATTCACAATTTATGTTTCACATATACCTTGCACACACAGCCTGAATTTTACACAGTATTCTGAGAGCACCTGCATTTTGACTTTGTCATATGAGGTCAGGTGTGTTTTCCATTTGTGATGTCATGCTGGCCCTCAAAGTCTCAGATTCTGGCCTGGCATGGTGGCGCACACCTGTAATCCCAGAACTTGGGAGACCGAGGCAGAAGGATCACCAGGAGTTCAAAGCCAGTCTGCATTACATAGTGAGTTCAAGGCCAGCCTGAGCTATACAGCAAGACTTTGCCTCTAAACACCAAGGAAAAAAGTTTCAGATCTTGGAGCATTTTAATTTGGGACTTTTTGGATGTTCAACCTGTATTTTTTTTTTTTTCTTTTGGTACTGGGGATCAAACTCAGGACCTTGCACTTGCAAGACAGGTGTGGTGCCACGGAGCTAAATCCCCAGCCCTCAACCCATATTTTTAAAACATGAAGCTGTGGGCTAAGGTATAGCTCGGACGCAGGGCATTGCAGAGCATGCACAAGGCCTGGGCTCCACACCTAGCCCCACGAAAAGAAATTTTAAAATTACTGCTAAAGAAAATTCGTGTGGAGGTTGGCAATAGTTAACCTTGACTCGCCAGAATGCACGGATCCTTGCTCAGCGAGGTTGAAGAGACAGAGGGCTTCTGCCCCATAGTCTGAGAACCCGCTGCCTGGACCTGCTCTGGACCCTCCTCCCAGGCCTTTCCAGAGAGCAAAGCCTCTTCCTTCATTAGAGGGCAGCTCAGGGGCTGCAGCCCTTCTGCTCCCCCTTCCCCAGTGCATCAGCACCGACTTTGTTTTGTCGCCGTCAGCTGTATGTTCTTACAAATAATGTGCTGGATAAGTGCACTATGAGTTGTCACATGTCAGTGCCTAGAGCAGCGCCTGGTACACACTGAATACATCCGTTTTGTAATAGAATTTAAGTATTCTACACTGTATGTTATTATGTACACAAGTATCAGTTTTTTGTTTGTTTTTTTACCAGGGATCAGGTCTTTGTGCTTGCCAGGCAGGTGGTGGAACCACTGAGCTAAATCCCTGGCCCTTAACATCATCTTGAGCTACTTTTTTTGTTGTTGTTGTTACCAGGGATTGAACTTGGGACCTTGTACTTGCGAGGCAGATGGTGGAACCATGGAGCTAAATCCCTGGCCCTTATTTTTTTAAGATAGGGTCTCATTATGTAGTCCAAGTTGGCCTTGAGTTTATAATCCTCCTGTCTCAGGCTCCCAAGAGCTGGGATTAAAAGCATGTGCCTTGGGCCTGGCTTCATGATAATTTTTGACATTCTTTTAGCTCTTTGTATGTGTTCAGGGCTTCAACTACATCATCTCATTCAATCTCATCAACCTCATGAGGTACGAGCTTAATTGTCCCCATTTTATAGAAGGGAAGAGTGCAGCCCATGTGGCAGCTATCACGTGTCCAGAAGTGCACAGGAAGGGTCCCTGTAGCTGCACTCGCTGGGCAATGAAGGATAATCAGAAAGTGCAGTGGAAAGGCAATTCGTGCATGACCCCTCTGTACCCCCAGTAGGTCTGGTCCAGGAATCTGGGACACATGGCTGGGTGCCAGTTTCCTCAACCCCAAGCGGAGGCCCAGGGGCAGGAAAGGGGACTCACCTCGGGATGAATACACAGGTTCTTGCGGGAGCTCAGAGCCAGCCCCCAAAATGGCAGCTTCTCACTCCTGCTCCTTGTTTCCTCAACCCCAAGCGGAGGCCCAGGGGCAGGAAAGGGGACTCACCTCGGGATGAATACACAGGTTCTTGCGGGAGCTCAGAGCCAGCCCCAAAAATGGCAGCTTCTCACCCTCCTGCTTCTCATAGAAGTTGAGCAATTTGCGCAGCTCCTCAATCACCTGCTCAAGAGGTGGAGTGAGGGACTTGGCCTCACCGGAAGCACAAGTCCCTGCCAGCCCCCGCCCGCCCACCTCTTCTCCAAGGTCCCCCAGGCTGCTAAGAACCAACACTGGAAAGCGGGGGTCAGGATGGAGCACCCACCTTCTCAATCTCAGGCACAGTCCTGGAGCAGTAGATGAGTTTGGTCACTTCCAGTGGATAAGCCTGCCAAGGCCAAGCGGCTCAGTCCCCATCCAGCCCCGCACCGCTTTCCCCTCCGTGGCACAGGGCTCACTCACCCGCTGATAGGCCATGATCAGGGCCAGGAGAGACACTGTCTTCCCAGTACCTGAGGGCATCTCCAGGACCCCATGACCCTGTGTGTTGGGGCAGAAGAGGCAAGACACGGGCTCTCAGTACCTTGGGGTCACAAACTCTGGGGACCCCTCCCACATGCCACCACCAAGGAACAGCAGGACAACAGGGCAGTTAAAAGTCTGTACCTCGGTGGCAGGGGGTTTGAACCCCACTTCGGCCACTCTTTTTTCTGGTACCAGGGATAGAACTCAGGATCTTGTGCTTCCCAGGCAGGTGTGGCACTACTGAGCTACATCCCCAGCCCTGCCACTTTCTTGTCAAAGGTCTTAAGCAAATATCTTTACCATGCTGGGCTGCAGTACCCTCATCTCTAAAATGGTCCTAATAAGTTCTTACGCATAGCATCACTGTGAGGATTAATGAGAAATCATAGGTTCAAGGTATGACACAGTATCTGACAGTGAGTCCTTTAACTTAGCAAAAACTTTCACAGCACTGGGTGTAGTGGCTTGGGTCTATAACCCCAGCACTCCAGCCCTGTCTGGGCAATTTAGCAGCTTCATGAGACCCTCTCTCAAGTGAAAAATAAAAAAAGGGGCTAGGCGATATAGCTTAGTGTGGAGGCCCTGGGTCCAATCCTCAGTACTGAAAAACAAACTTGCACAGCACTTCCTGTGTTTAGTGTTGTTTATATCAGTGTCTTTCAACCTCTGCTCTACTGACATCTGGGAACGGAAAACACTTGGTTATGGGGGCTCTAACTGCACAGTAAGTTTTCAGCAGCTTCCACAGCTTCTACTTACTTGCTAGGTGTCAGGAGCCCTGCCCCTGCACTGGTGTGACAAGCAGCATACCTTTAGCCATTGCCAAATGTCGTCCTTGGGCATCAAAGTCACTCACACACACACACACCCCGGCAGAGAACTGCTCACTCTACTGTATGCAGTCACATGACCCTCACAACCTATGAAGTAGGTACTGTCACTACCGCCCCAGCTCTTCTTTCTTCCATTTTTAAAAATGGTACTGGGAGGGGCCTAGGATTTAGCTCAGTGGTTCCACCACTTGTCTCGAAGCCCAAGGACCAGAGTTTGATTCCTGGTAACAAAAAAA